GTTTGACGATGTCTATCTTAGTATTTATTTCACAAAGAAGGCAAAGGGATAAAAATTTACACGCAGATTAATATGAAAAATAATTAGTTCTAGGAGGTTCTCTACATAATTTCATGTAATAACCTTCGTTTCGCTTGAAAAGGTCACTGGAAGGGCTTCATAATTTGGCCTCTCGATGATTGTAAGTGGATTGCCTTGCAGCTTTGACTATACATTTATGCAAAAAAATCATCGGCGCACAATCATGCATTAAGTCGCTTTTGAGTAAATTTTCGCTAAGCATTAAACCTTTCTGTCCATTTAAAGATTTAGGATCAGCACGGATGGATTGGGTTTGCAGAACAGTGCGCCGATGTTTTTGTTAGGGCCAACAACCAAATACATTCCGCCCACCGTTTACAGTGAAATGAAAAGAGCAACAAAATGAATTTACTAGAATATCCACCTAAACACAGTAACATTTAGGCCTAGAAACATATAATTTTTGACCCTTGCCTCTTTCTTAAAAAATTTAGACTAATATTTTGCAAGAATATTATAAAATGTGAGCCATAACGACCACAATGATTGACAAAAAATGTCCTCGTACCTTGCAGCAAAAGTCTGCTTTCTCACTAATTAATAAATTAACTTTTTTCCTTGGCCCAGGTCTAATTCATACTCCAAGTCAGGCTCAAATTCAGGTCTTGCATGTCAAAATACGGATACGCCACTATCTTGACGACATAAACCTTGATCGAATTAGCTACATTTTACGTTATACTTAGCAATTTATTGGTAAATATGTTGCAACTAGTTTTCTTGTCAGTTTGTGCTAACCTTGTATGGCCTGGACGGTTTGCTGATCCATATCGCTGAAGCCAACTGCTGTCCAAGTTTCTTCATCGTCTTCTAGAAGACGTACAACGCCTCGGTCTATGGAAATAGTCTTCTCGCCAAACTTCATCATTAATGTCTGCAGACAAATGGATGATAAAGGGGTTAAGAAAATAGATAGGAATTTGAGAAAAAAGGTCAAACCTGCTTTATTTCTAGTCAAGGTGTTTAAAATTGTTCTTAAGTTGACGAAGTCTGTCTTGTAAATATTTGAATTCCGGCCAGACGGAACTGTAAGTGACGGCTTAAAGGTTTTTCTCATCCTATGGACTCGACAAATATGAGGCTTGAAAGAGATGGCTGCTGGCTTTTGATACAGCAGATGGACTTCGATATTTTGCAATATTCCGATGCGGGCCATGAAATCTCATGCTTAGTATCCGAATAAACAATAATACCAAAAATATAAATTATACTTTTTTTTCCAAATTGGCGAATATTGTGTTGTACAAATGACTATGGGACCTTTTGTATTTATCCTGGAATTTCGAGATTTTGGGAGTCTCAAGATGCCCGAATAGTTTAGATATTTTACAATTTATTATAAATTCCATTGGCGCTTTCATTTTTTAACAGGTAGTTAGGAGGTATTAGCAAATTGGTCCAAAAAGAAGATTCAATTGAAGTAGTTGCTGTTGATTTGTTCGAAATCCTCGCTCACTATGTTTTAACCTAATTCCACTCAAGCTCAGCTTTCGAATGTACCTCCACGATAGATCCTCAGAGCAAGTAACCATTTTTTAAAATAGAAATTAATCAAATATAAATCCAAGAATGGTGTTATTGGCGTTGATAGAATTCTTTAAAGAATAGCTTATCTTTCTGAAGCTGTTTTCACGACAGTAAAGATAAAAACGCATCACAGAGGGATCGGGATTGCTGGACTATGCCTGCGGTCTTCTTTGGACAAATTAACGGTCACGAACTAAATTCGCTTCTCCTGCGGAATTTGCTGAGATATATTTCCAAAATTTAACATGAGACGAAAAGTCTTTTGACTTGAAATTATTAAAAGGGTCTTAAAAACCTTACTTTTATTCACGTGTTCATTTTAATCTACTAAGTAAAGGTAAACATGTGTTTACATACCATCCCAAACAATGATTGTAAGATATTGTATGAAAAAGAAAGGATTTTAAAATAAAACTCTTCCAGTTCATGCTAAGAGCCTATGCGTTAAGATAGAAAGGAGTGCACCCCCTTACCCTGTAACACTGTGATGGCCGTTTACAGGTCTCGGAACTGATGAGGATATACCATGGCGCCATGGGCCCAGATGAGGTCACGTTGACTTCCTCGTTCGTCTGGTCCTTTAGTAAAAGGTTGGTTCCAGCCAGCAAATATGTGCATTCACCTGGAAAATTGTAGAGGCGGCCATCAAATGTTCGATAGCTATCCAGACAGAAGACGTCACAAGTGGCATATGGTAAGCTCTGGTTGTTGTCTATAAAAATGGGAATAAAAATAAGAAGGCGAAATGTAGGAATGTCATTGCCAAAAGTGGAACGTTTAAGTGAGAAGGTATGTCCTCTTGATTATTTGGGGTAAGTATGCTTTCTTTATGAGAAATGTAATCAAAGAGAATCGCACAATTTCAATTTTCCCATAATGAAATGATTAGGTCTAATGATGCATAATAATTTCAACTAGACTTGTATCCAAAAGATTGGGATTGTCAACAGCATCCCAAACAGGATTCGCAACCAGTCCGTTGGTGTAAAATGGCTATAAGTTACCATTACGTCCAGCAAGGCCGGAGAAAACTAAATTACATTGTGAAGTCTAGTCATTCGATTTCAGATAATTCAATTATCAGTCCTTAAATCACTATGTTGACTAAACTTTTCATTATCTTTACTTTGAACAGAAGAGTAGTTGATGGTTGAGGACAGCGAGGTGCTAACGAACAGGCCAACATGAGTTGTATATTTTACATTTATTTCTTTCAACAATCCTGCATAGTTAAAAAGTTACACGGTAACTCATGATATCATACGGACCCGACTGCAATTAAAGGTTGATCCGGAATTGTCCAAAGGGCATTTCCGACCTGAGTAAAGTAGGCAGAAGGACTGGAACCTACCACCTACATGCCTTGGAACTACTCGTTTTCCTTTCCTACATAAAAACCTAATCATGCCTTAATTAGCACCAAATTTTACAGTGACATTCTTCAAATACATTAGAGTTACATTTTACTTTGGGTGACCAGAATAATTTGTAACTCTAAATTTTAAAAGGTATTTGTTCTGATGATAATACAACTGGTGGAGTACAGTGGAACTAGGGTAGTGGGATAGCTGAACCCAGAGTGGTCTTTCAATAGGCCATTGATAACATTGCCTTCTTAGTACGTAGCTTTTGTGGAATTATTTCGTAGACCGTACGCAAAAGGGACAATCTCTGGAAACAAATGTCAACTCCTTATGGCTTAAATTGGACAGATTTCGACACCACAACACGAGGACAAGAAAGGTATTTTGGTGAATTGACAGTAACCATGGTGTCCTGCTCTGAAGATGTCCGCCACATGACGGACGAAAGCTCAGCAAGGATTCATCGGAGCCACAGAGCGGGTGCTCTGATGATCTAATTGCACAAATCTACAATCACAGCTCCAAGGCAATTGTCCTACAGCTTCGGAAGAGGCCAACTTAGGAATCCCTTCCACTCGCATCTTCAAACAAAGTTGAATGTACCCAACTTAAAGAGTAACCCAAGAGTACCCGGTAAAAATTACGTCAGATCCGACTATACTCGCCCTGAGGCATGGTATACTTACATGTTTCCGGTTCGTCCATGCGACAAGGGATGCAGATGCCGTTACTGCTTCCCCAAGAGGCTGCGCCCGACATGCTACAGCAGAATTCGTAGCTGACCAGATCCTCCCCACGCGTGATCACATGTCCTAAGCCGCATCGATCGGCCAAGTAGCAATATTTGAGATCGCGTTTCAAGGCCAGGGCTGAAGTAAAGTGTTGTGTGCGTTGGCAAACATGGAGAGACGAGTTACTGAAGGAGAACTAGAAAAAGTAGATTTTGCTCATGTTAGAAAAGGTCTGGTGGGACTGTTTGTGCCAAGTATGGAACGGATACTTGATGAAGAAATCCTTTC